TCAAGGACACAAAAATTAACAAATTGGACTGAAATTAAATGTTTCCTATGTAAAATTCTCTAAAAATTATGATTTTGTTATTAGTTTTTGCTCATCTTTAATAGTTTGTGAAATATTGATCAAAATTTGTTATTGATTTTGTAAAAATCGTCAAGAACTTGAATTATAATTTTTCAAGGCTACAAAAATTAACAAGTTGGACTGAAATTTGGGATTTCTTATGTAAAATTGTCCAAAAGTTCTGAATTTATTACCAATTTTTGCTCATATTTAATAACTTTTCAGATATCGGTCAAAATTTATTATTAATCTCATCAAATACCTGAATTTTAGATTTTCAAAGCTACAAAATTTTAGATTTGGACTGAAATTATGTCTCTCTTATGTAAAATTATTCAAAAATTTTCGATTTCTTATTGATTCTGGTTCATCTTTAATAGATTTATAGATATCGATCAAAATTTGTTAATGATTTTGTAAAAATCGTCAAGAACTTGAATTATAATTTTTCAAGGCCACAAACATTAACAAGATAAACCGAAATGAAGTGTTTCTTGTGTAAAATTCTCCAAATATTTTGAATTTGTTATTAGTTTTTGTTCATTTTTAATTGATTTCTAGATACCGATCAAAATTTGTTATTAATATTGAAAAAATCGTAAAATACTTGAATTAGGAGTATAATTTTTCAAGGTCACAAAAACTAGATGTTTATTATATAAAATTGTCTAGGGATTCTGATTTTGTTATTAGTTTTTGCTCATCTTTAATAGTTTGTAAATATGTATGGATCAAAATTTGTTATTGATTTTGTAAAAATCGTAAAATACTTGAATAATAATTTTTCAAAGCTACAAAAATTAACAAGTTGTAGTGAAATTTTCTTATGTTAAACTGCCCAAAGATTTTGAATTTGTTATCAGTTTTGGCTCATCTTTAATACGAGTATATTTTTAGATATCGTCCAAAATTTCTTATTGATTTTGTAAAAATCGTCAAGAACTTGGATTATAATTTTTCAATGCCACAAAAATTAACAAGATAAACCAAAAAGAAGTTTTTCTTGTGTAAAATTGCCCAAAAATTCTAAATTTGTTATCAGTTTTGGCTCATCCTTAATAGGTTTTTAGGTATCGACCAAAATTTGTTATTGATTTTCTATAAATCGTTAAGAACTTGAATTATAATTTTTGAAGGCTACAAAAATTAACAAACTGGACTGAAACTGTGTGTTTCTTATATAAAAATATCCAAAGATTTTAAATTTGTTATCAGTTCTGCTTTTTTTATAGATTTTCACATATTGATCAAAATTTGTTATTGA